CATGGTCGTAGCCTTTGCGCAATCACTCCAATGCAATCTGCAAACACAAAGTTGCAAAAGCAGCAAAGAATTGCACATACAACGGAACAGTCACACAGCCACTTCAATGCGATCTGCAGACGCAATTCATCACAAAGCTGCAAGACATCAAAGAACTGCTCATCTGGCTGCAGCAACCGCTTCATGCAATGCGAACGTTGCACAACCATGAAGAACTCGGAAGGAGCCGCAGAAACCAGCAACATTCCCGCAACCGGCACGCCGCCACATCAACACGCAGTACCTCACAGAATCTCTTCACAAAATGGCTTGAGCGAATCAACACCGCACAGCAACCAACAGGCAGCGACACGAAGGAACGTCACATAACCGCAAAACCTTTCAGAATGCAATCACAAAACACGATGGCACAGTCAGCGCCCAACCTCTGATGGTGGTTGTCGGACGGACCCGGCCAAAAAATCGTTCAAAATATGATGGGCAACAGAAACCCAATAAAAAAGGTACATTGTGGTGTAGTATTCTATTAAATAGGTGACGTGGAATAATTCTTGAATGATACAGCACAGTCACGCAGTGTCATTGACGGTCACGCAATGTAGTGTCCCCTCATGGCATGTACTGTCACGCCATGTGCGTCTCGTCATGTCATGTAGTGTCATGTCATGTCACGTTATGTCATGTCATGTCATGTATGTCATATCATCCTATCATACCATGTCGCGTCAAGTACTGTCATCAATGGGAAGAAAACCGGTCATTCGTCAAGTCTCTGAAGTCATGCAAGGGAAGAAAGCAAACCAAACAAGCAAGTCGCGAACAGAAACCATGCAATGTTAGATATGCTCGTCAGATGTCATTGTCATATGTCATGTATAGTGCAAAGTTATGTAGTTATGCCTCAATTTCGTTGTGAAGTCTCTGAAATTGGCTCAAACGGTCTCAAAACAAAGTAAACAGGTGGATCAAACAAAAATGTCCTGCATGCTAAAGACTGTAAGAAACACCGCGCCCTTCATGTAAAGCCCTCTCGCCGTGTCTTACGGAAAGAACGGTGATTTTCAGTGGCATGTCAGAATATCCACTGAAGGCATCTGGGAGCCAATAAAACATATATATTTATATTTAATTATAAATATTATATATATATATAACCTGTTCCCCAAACAATTTTCGGTCTACTTTGTAGCCAGCTGTTGCCGTCAACCAACTGGCCCTCTTCCATGCCACCATGCCTTTGCTTCAGGCGCTGGAAGCTTTGCAACCTGCGGAAGTTTGGATTGATACTGAACAGGATTGGAAACAGCATGGAGTTGAACTCCAGTAAGTGGAGATCCAACAAATGAGCGGTTGCCGAAACCCCAATGATTTGTGTTCTATTCTGTCTTCCCTTTCGCCATCTCTTTCGCGAACCTTTCGCGATGTGCCGTTTTTCTTTCGCCGCATCCACGTGTCTGAAATACACGTTCACGAACTTTCGCAGAAAATGCTGAAAAGAATTCCCTGTGTTCCCTGGCAAACACATATACTGAAACATTTGTTTCCCACCTGCCATGTGAGAGTCTCTAAATTTTATCAAAGCTGCATGCCGCCCATCGCCTCTTCCTCCTCCTCCTCCTCCTCCTTCACCTCCTCGTCCTCCACTCCACCCTCAACAACAAGCTCCAGATCTCAGTAGGCACTGCCGGGCCTCAACCGCTATCTCAATGGGTACAGCCAGACACCGCGAGCGCCAGATCACAGCGGGCACTATCGAATGGGGGGGGCGGCCATCCCAGCTAGTCAGGGCTTTCGCGGAGCTTTCGCGAAGCTTTCGCGGATTTTCGGGTCACATCTATAGAAATGTGAGTAATATATTCCCCAGATACATCTGAGGAAGCTGTCTACAAACATATCCTTAAAGCCATGATTTTGATGGATTTTGAGCCTTGAAAGTCTCTTTCGCGAGCTTTCGCGGAAGCAAATCTTCGCAAAATCTTTCGCGAATCTTTCGCGAACGTGGTTTTACCTTTCGCGGAGCCATCTTACTTTAACAGCCCTATAAATCTCCACATGGAGGTTTTGGCGGCTGCTCAAATAAAGATAGGCAAGCAACATGGGAAGTTGACCGATCAACCAAAGCCGGATGTTGCCAATCAAACTATTGAGAGGCTAAATTTGGAAGGTTTTATGAAAATGCGTTGAGATATCACCACCTCGCATGGGTTTATAGTCAGTAGGCCTTCTCAACAAGAAGAGAAACCAGCCTGATTTTTCTAAATCCGTCTAAGCAACCGTACATTCCATCTGTGGCCACAGCTGGTCCAAAGCATTGGAGCAATTTTCAGAACATCAAGTTGCTGCACTTTCAGACCAAAAAAGACTGAATTGTGGGGAAACAACAACGTGACCAAAGCATACTAATTATGAATGGCCGGCTTGGATCGTTCCTGATCATTCTGTTGCATGTGTTCGCGAACGCGGTTGTGTGTGTGTGTGTAAAACTTCTGCTATATTTCTTTTTTTTCTAGCGGGGGGGCACCGAGGTCTCGGGGGGGTCGGTGACAAAGACATCTCCCAGGGGCCCGCGCAAACGCACCCGCGGGACTTTGGTGGTGCACCTGGGCGCATTTAAGTCGCAGATGGTGGCCACCAAAGTCCCATATATGTATATATATATACATAAGTATATATATATAAGTATATATATATATGTATTTATATATATATATATTAGTATATATATATATGTATTTATATAGAGGTGTATATATATAAGTATATTTATATATATACGTAAATATATATATATAAGTGTATATATATAAGTATATATATATATATAACTATATATATATATATAACTATATATATATAACTATATATATATAACTATATATATATATGTATATATATGTTTATATATATATATGTATATATATATATATGTATATATATACATATATATATATATATATCAGTTTAGGTCAAGGTTTTATGGGCTTAGTTCCCATCGGATCACTTCAATGATCCAGGTCTATTCTATTGTGATTTCCATGGTGGCTCCGACATGGTGCCATGGACCCATGTGAGGGAACCCTCTTTAGGGAGAATGCTGACAAACGGACGTCTGAATTCACACATTTTAATCTGGTAATTCGTTTAGGTATAGTGAAACAGTTGGCCGTGCTGTTGTGAGCCATTTTGTCCTGCCGCTCCTGCCGCTGATGTGTTACCCTGGCATCTTCCATCCTGCTCCAGCGTCGCTGTTCTGAACAGCCAGAAACAAGGTCTTTCACAGGGACAGAGCGACAGCCCGTGTTGGACCATTACATTTCAGGCTGAGGCTACATGCTTTCAGGTGTGGTCTACTTTCTTTTGATGGTTCTCTGGTGAGGTTGAACATATCGTGCATCTAATTCATCTGAACTTGAACAGCCGTTTAATGACCACTTGTGGGTGTGACCGACTACCGTCCCTTCGAGGGAGTAACGCGCGACCTTGCATTTAGGAAGTGAATCCCTTTAATAATTTTGTTGTTTCACCTTTCTTCATCAACTAGCCCCCCATTTGATCCCTAATTATCCCCCGTGCCAGGTGTGTGCTCTGTGTTGGTGAAGTCCGTTTCGCCGTGTAGGTTGGTTCTGGAGGTCCGTTTGTTCCCCTCCCCCCCGCGCTGTTTTGGCCTTTTGCCTCTCGTTTGTGTCCGCTTTATTCTTCCTCTTGCCTTTCAGGGTTGACCCGTCTCCGGCCGGGTGTGTGTGTGTGTGTAAGTAACATCTGAACAAATGTAAAACTTCTGCTATATTTCTTTTTTTTCTAGCGGGGGGGCACCGAGGTCTCGGGGGGGTCGGTGACAAAGACATCTCCCCGGGGCCCGCGCAAACGCACCCGCGGGACTTTGGTGGTGCACCTGGGCGCATTTAAGTCGCAGCTGGTGGCCACCAAAGTCCGATATATAACTATATATATATACAACTATATATATATATATACAACTATATATATATAACTATAAATATAAAACTATATATATATATAACTATATATATGTGTATAAATTTAAATATAACTATATAAATATAACTCATTTTATATAACTTTATATATAACTATATACATATAACTATATTTATATAACTATACATCTTTAAATAAATATATATATATATATAACTCTATATATTATTAAATATATATAACTATATATAAATATCTATATTTATATAACTATATATATAACTATATATACATAAATATACAACTATATATTTATATACCTATATATATAACTATATATATATAACTATATATATAACTATATCTTTTTAACTACACATAAATATCTATATATACAACTATATATACAATTATATATATACCTTTAAAGAAAACTATATATATAATATATACATATACAACTATATATATATAACTATATATATTTATATTACTGTAAATATATAACTATAAATATAAAACTATATTATATATATATATATATCAGGTTAGGTCCAGGTTTTATGGGATTCAGTTCCCATCGGGTCACTTCAATCCAGTTCTATTCTAGTTTGCGTATGTGTGTGTGTGTGTCTGTGTGTCTGCATGTGAACCCCTTCAGATTTAGAATCAACTCTATTTCAAAGAAACACTATTTGGGAAGGCTACCTGGGTTGGAGCTTGACCAATGATTTTGACGCGCCTTTCTGCCCGGCTTTGCCGCGCAATGATTCGCTGCGAGTATGGGCAATCCCACTGGACCATGCAGCTTTGGCATGTATTCAAGCCACGTTTTGCATAAACGGACCATATGTATCTTGAAAAGGTCTGACAAGCTGGTAAAGAGTCTGTGAGGAATCAAAGTCTGTGAGGAATCTGTGCACAATACGCACTTGTGATTTTCGAATGCTTGAATGTTGCATCAGTGGTGAAGTGTACGAGGAACATATCTTCACAAGATAAAATGCACGCTATGGATTTGTTATAAATCTAAGGAACTGCATGGATAAACTGATTACATCATATTACATCCATGCAAAACATTGCTTCCGAGACATGACATGACACAAAAAAAACGCGATGATGCACGATGGCCAATTCAAACCATGTCTCGCTGCGCTGTACACACAAATGTCGAATCAGGTTCTGCCATGAGAGCCACTCAACACTTGCTGCCACCATCAGGGCACCCGGTAGGACAAAACATCCGTTTGCACTCCAATCGGAGGAAGCATCACCTGCACATGCAATCGTTAAAACGCGGTTGTGAAGGTTCTGAAACGGTTTGGAAAATTCTAGGAATTCGACTTTACTCTGACTGATCTGACTTTCCCTCTAAGCCAGCGAGTTTGGAATCAGTGGAGTTCCCCAAAGATCTCAAAGCCTTTGCAACTCTCAACTGCAATATTCTTGGTGTTTGACCAATTGGGTCACTCAAAAATGTGTTTATTTTACTGGGGTCATGTAGGGCTTGCGATTTGAAGCCACTGATGCAGTACCAAGCGGCTTTCACTTCCAAGGCATCCATCAATTTTCTGGCTTCGTATTGCAGCGCTCCGGCGTGCATGTCCATAGCCCTGCGCACGTCATCCTGAACACCCAGACATCGCATCCTGGAGACGGCGTGGTGTGTGGGGTTCATCATAGTGAACGAATTTTGCCGGAAGGAACCCTGATCTGACATGATCTTCTCTGGCCTCTCTGGCCCATGATTCTTGATCAAATGTGTACCAATACCACCCAATAGCAACTCTTAAAGCAGGCACTTGCATGAACTTGCGGAGTTATCCAAGGCCTATGTTCAAGATTCACGCCCTGAATCTTCAAACTGACGCAGTTGTGGCGGTGCCCCGCCTCTCCAAGACCTCTCCAGATCTATCATCCATAGCAAATCTGCGAAGGGCCAAGCAGGCTGTACGTTGCACGTCGCTGTCCTCTCTATATTCGCGCATGCTGTGCAGCAGTTCTTCCAATGCCCCTTCCTCACCACTGGACCGAACTGACCGAAAGGCTTCACACGAACTTGTGTTTTCCACTAGGGGCATCCATCTTCAGGAATTATGTTGTGTTTGAATTTGAGTGTCTCCGCCTTGCGTGTTGTATTGGATCGCGTTTCGATGTCTGTTGTATTACAACGAATAAACTGATGGCAAATTGTTCGCAACTTGCTGTTTTTTCTCAAATTCCTTCGATGAAAACATCGTACGTGGAGTCTAAGCAAAGTTTGGGATGTTTGGGAAATTTCTCCACGCACTACTGCGATACAGTACACTTCATTCAACAAATATCCCAAACGTCCCGTACAGCCTTGAGAGGTTCCTGACAGGAAAACAACATAAACAAGCTGCATTTGTCTGCTTCTGGAAATGCTATAGTATCAAATGACTTGAAAATCATTCAAACAATTTAATCAATCAGTTCGTTCAATTTGTCGGGCCACTGGCTACACGTTTGTCACAATTCAATTGGTTTGTATTACGAGGAAATTTGAAATTTCTCATTTGAAAACTACCTAGTGTGGAATCCAGGATGTCGCTGGGTGCATGCCACCACCAGTGCACATCACGCCTCGTAGAATTGTTTGCGCATCTTGGGATAGTAGAAAATCATCTCGGCAATAAAACCACAGGTGGCGAATTGCAACACTCTGTCCTGTTTGCGTGGCCGAGTTCATCAAAGCCAACATGTTTCGATTCATGTCAACTTAAGTTTTCATCCAGTCATGGGCCACATGATCTGGGATCCGTGTCGGAATTGCAGTCCATATTGGCGAAACACCCATGTCCTCCCGTTGGGAATAAATTTCAATTGAGGTTTTTGACGTATTATGTATTAATCCCTTCCTCCTAATACTAAACCCCCCCCCTAATACAAAACACGGCAAGTAGTTTTTAGTATTAGGGAGGTATTTATTATTAGGGAACCAAAATATTGCCAAAAATGGCAGTTCGAAGCTTACCCCTAATACTAAATTAAAACCCTTAATAATAAAAACCATTTTTTCCGATCTCAAAATCAATTAAATTTCCTTATATAACGCAATTAAAATATTGCCAAAAATGGCAGTTCGAAGCTTACCCCTAATACTAAATTAAAACCCTTATAAACTATTTTTTCCGATCTCAAAATCAATTAAATTTCCTTATATAACGCAATTAAAATATTGCCAAAAATGGCAGTTCGAAGCTTACCCCTAATTGCTAGAGTAGCCAGGCAGCTTGGAGTGAGGGTTTGGGACTAGGCCCCCCTAATACTAAACACCCCGGGGTGAACTAGTTTTTAGTATTAGGGGGGAGAACCCACAAATGGTAGGTTGATTTTTAAATTGTTTTTTAAAGGGGATCAATTAAAAGTCAAATTGGCCAAACTGAAATTTTCGGAAATTGGAGATGGATGCCTGTTTTTAGTATTAGGGGGACGTTTAGTATTAGGAGGAAGGGATTATATATTTCTTTATATTATATTATATTATATTAATTTATTATATCATATCATATTATATTTCCCCAACAGCGTAAGCTTGGGGTCTTCAGCCATAGTAAAGGTTCCGGAGCAGGTCGGAGCAGCCAAATCCGCTGGGAACCGGGTTCCGGGGAAGGGTCTCCTTTTCCAAGAGAATCCCTCGGAGCAGCCAAATCCGCACGGCGCAAGGTTGGATACCGGGTTCCCAGGAAGAGGTTCCCAAGCAAGGTTCCCAGGAAGACGTTCTTAAGCAAAGTTTCCAAGCAAGGTTCCCAGGAACAGGTTCCCAATTCAAGTAAGGTTCCCAAGAGGTTCCCAGGAACAGGTTCCCAAGCAAGGGTTCCCAGCAAGAGGTTCCCAAGCCAGGTTCCCAGGAACATGTTCCCAAGCAAGGTTCCCAAGCAAGGTTCCCAGGAAGAGGTTCCCAAGAAAGGTTCCCAGGCAAATTTAAATACCAGGAACAGATTCCCAAGCAAGGGTTCCCAGCAAGAGGTTCCCAAGCCAGGTTCCCAGGAACATGTTCCCAAGCAAGGTTCCCAAGCAAGGTTCCCAGGAAGAGGTTCCCAAGAAAGGTTCCCAGGCAAATTTAAATACCAGGAACAGATTCCCAAGCAAGGGTTCCCAGCAAGAGGTTCCCAAGCCAGGTTCCCAGGAACATGTTCCCAAGCAAGGTTCCCAAGCAAGGTTCCCAGGAAGAGGTTCCCAAGCAAGGTTCCCAGGCAAATTTAAATACCAGGAACAGATTCCCAAGCAAGGGTTCCCAGTAAGAGGTTCCCAGGCAGGGCTCCCAGGAAGAGGTTGCCAAGCATGGTTCCCAGGAAAAAGTTCCCAGGCAAGGTTCCCAAGAGGTTCCAAAAAATGTTCCCAGGAACAGGTTCCCAAGCAAGGGTTCCCAGGCAAGGTTCCCAAGAGGTTCCAAGCAAGGCTCCCAGGAACAGGTTCCTAAGCAAGGTTCCCAGGAAGAGGTTCCCAAGCAAGGGTTCCCAGGAAGAGGTTTCCAGGAACAGATTCCCAAGCAAGGTTCCCAGGAACAGGTTTTGCAAGCACGGATTTCAGGAACCGTTTTCAAGGTTTCCAGGAACCGTTTCCCAAGCAAAACAAGGTTCCCAGAACAGGTTTTCAAGCAAGTGTTTCCAGGAACAAGTTTCCAGGAAGACGTGTCCAAGCAAGGTTCCCACAGCAAGTTTCCGAAGCAAGATTTCCAGGAACATGTTTTTCCAAGCAAAACAAGGTTCCCAGAACAAGTTTTCAAACAAGTGTTTCCAGGAAGAGCAGGAAGAGGTGTCCAAGCAAGGTTCCCAGCAAGCTGGTTCCCAAGCAATGTTTTCAGGAAGAGGTTCCCAAGCAAGGTTCCCAGCCACAGGTTCCCAGGAACAGGTGCCCATACAAGGTTCCAAAGAACAGGTTCGCAAGTAAGGTTCCCAAGCACGTTCCCAAACAAGGCTCCCAGGAAGAGGTTCCCAAGCAAGGTTCCCGGCAAGGAACACGTTCGCAAACAAGTTTTCCAAGAACAGGTTCACAAGTAAGGTTCCCGGAAAAAGTTCCCAGGCAATGTTTCCAGGAAAAGGTTCCCAAGCAAGGTTCCCAGGAACAGCTTCTCCAAGGTTCCCAGGAAGAGGTCCGCAAGCAAGGGTTCCCAGTTGCTCCCGGAAATTTTGCTTTGGAACCAGCTCTTCCTGGGAACGCTTGCTTGGGAACCTGTTCCTGCGAGCCTTGTTCCTGCTTGGAAGCTTGCTTGGAAACGGTTCCTGGGACCTTGTTTGGGAACCGTTTTTGGAAACCGTACTTGCAAGCGGTTCCTAAGAACTTAACCTTGCTTTGGAACCTCTTCCTGGATACCTGCTTGGGAGCCTCTTCCTGGGAACTTGCTTGGGAACGTTTTTCCCCAACAGCGTAAGCTTGGGGTCTTCAGCCACCCCGAGAACAAGATTTCCAATTAAATTTTCCAGGAACAGGTTTGCAAGCAAAGTTACCAGGAAGGATTCCCAAGCCAGGTTCCCAAGAACAGGTTCCCAGGCAAGGTTCCCAAGCAAGGGTTCCAGAAACAGTTGTCAAGCAAGGGTTGCCAGGAACAGGTTCCCAAGCAAGGTTCCCAGGAACAGGTTTCCAAGAAAAGGTTGCAAAAAAGGTTTCCAAGAATGGGTTTGCAAGCAAGGGGGTTCCAGGCAAGGTTCCTGGGAACATGTTTCCAAGCAAGGTTCGCAAGACCAGGTTCCCGGGAACAAGCTCCTGGCTCTGGGGGAGATGTTGGCCCTGAGGGAGCTTTTGACGATGGTCCGGCCGATGGTGTTCTGGACATTGTCCCATTTTGGGGAGACGAGCCTGAGGGTGTGCCAGCCCTTCATGCAATGCGGGCTGGGGGGGGAGCAGGCAGGCCAAGCAAGATTTTCAGCAAGTTTTTCAACGACTTCATCAACCTGGCCGGGCTCTAATAATCAGGTGTCATGTGCTACAATGCCAACATGCTCTTGGGAAGAAGCTGAAGCGGTTCACGAAGAGGAGCTGCAAGAACATTGGGCAGTAAAGACACTGTGGATGAACGAGCTGAGGCATGTTGCTATCGGTGGAGATGAAGGTCGAGAACAAGGTCAATGGCTGGAGCTTCTCATGGAAGAGGTCCTGAGGAGAGAAAAGGATCTGGAGCAGCAGCATGAAGTCTTAGGGAGACATCGGTTGGCTTCACTGGTGCAGAATTCGATGGAAGTGCATCAAGGACATAGATGCCTGGAGAACAAGACACCTGAAACTTCGGTCAGCCAAGCTGCGGGAGATCCACAAGGCACAGTTTTGCAAACTTATACGGTGCCTTTGCAGCAGGTTCGAAAAGAGGTGGAGCTTTGGAAGCAACCGTTGTTGGACGAGTACAAGTCCTTGACAGAGATCACTGGGGCTTTGAAGGTCACAACGGAGAAGGAGCTTCAAAAAGATCCTCGTTATGATCAGATGGAGGTGGCGCCAGCTATGTTGGTCTCATGGAAAACGTCGGGCCCGGATAGTCATTTGTGGCAATCGCATCGAGGCGAGTATGCCGCCGGATGACCCGAAAGCCTATGTCTGACGACATGTAGAGCGGGTAGAGTTTTTTGTGCCTTAAAACAGGCCACGGAATCTTCTCAGGTTGCCGTGTTACGGCAAGGTAAAACACCTTTTGACACTGGAACTGTGAGAAGTGTAACAAGTTTTCCTGCGCAGATTAGAATGGCCACCTGCTAGGATGACACTCTTAGTATGGCTTGCGCAAGGACGACACGCCACAAATCGACTGTGGCAAATGGCTCAAGAAAAGACCCAGCTGCTGTCGGCAGCACTTCACCCAGCTCAATATTAAATTCTATTATATCATATTAAATAATACTATATTATATTGTATTATATTATATCATATTATATCATATTATATCATATTATATCTTATATAATATTAAATAATACTATTTTATTGTATTATATTAAAATTATAAAACATATTATATCATATTATATTTTGTTAAATCAAATCATAAAATACTATATTAAATTATATTAAATCATATTATTTTTTATTATATTAAATCATATCATATTTTATTACATTATATTAAATCATATTATATCATATTATGTTTTATTAGATCATACTATTTAATACTATATTATATTATACTTTGTTAAATTTTCATATATCAAATAAATATTCGATTATATTACATTATGCTATATCATATTACATTATATTATATCTTATTGTATCATATTCATTAATACAATATTATATTATATTGTATTATATTATATCATATTATATTATATCATACATACTAAATATAGAATCGTGCGCAGAGAAGGGAGAAGGGACCCATGACTTTTGGAAGAAGTTCTGTTTTTGCTGTGGGGGTCTGGGGTCTTGGTTATGTACAAATTGACGGCCGCGAAAGGGCCAGCATCCTGCGGTCACCCCAGGCCATATCATTCATGATCAGCCTATACCACTTCTATCTTGCATGTTTTTTACTGTCAGTATGTGACCACATGATACCTTATGATGCACTATGCAAAACCGAATCATGCATATGCCACGCCAAAATATGCCAAAACATTGCACAGGCTGATACAATACAGGTCCAATCATATAGAAACTAAATGTATAATGACAGCTATATATGGTGCTAAATGATGATCTATGCGCATGCAAGTATGTTCAAATCATCGAGGCATTCCTGAGGGATGCAACGAAGAAACAAAGAGAGTGACATTAAACACAATAAATTGATAGCAAATAAAGGTAAACACAATAAGTTGATACCATCTGGTATGTAAAATATGCTGACGTGATGAAAGTAGATGTGATTAATATTGACGAATCATTACATACTGTGATTTACATCCATTTATTTTGAATTGTTGTGATGCTGATGTGATAAAATAATGTGGGAATGCCAAGGAATGCGTAGGACATATGCGAAAACTACTACGTTAAAAAATGCCAAGTATCATATATATATATATATACATAGTATCATGCGTGATCATACTGCATCAAAACCTACCTAGTGCACAAGTAACCCTTTCTAGGCGCACAATCGGAACCCCCAAGGCTCAGAGCATATTGGGAATTTGGTTGGTTTTCATGGCGAACACATGCCTTGTACAAATGTGAACCCACATGGGGCTGGGTTTCATTAAAAACGGACCTCAACCACAACCTTTTTGACGGCCGGAAAGGCGCATGCAAGTGAATCACCAGGGGGATCCCAAGCAAAAAAAACAACCCACTGACTTTATACGGTTATTTCCCAAGAAGGATCCCATGGCCCAGGCCTATTGGTATGGAAACCACACTTTCATTGATAAAACCTCCATGAATGGTTGCGTCAGACAATCAGCTGCCCAAGTAGATTTGCGGCCTTGCGATGCGAACGCAGGTTTGCCAGCACAGACTCCAAGACGTTGGGACCCATCTCCTGCTGTTTTCTTCCATGAAACAGTAACAACGTGTCCAAGAGGTGCTTACGGAAGGGGTTGAAGGCCAAATTTGATGGAGTGTGAAGTTTCGATGGACATGTCGGCTGGCGCAAGATCCATGTTCAAGTTTGTTTTAAAAGAACAAACATATCTAAAGAAAATAAAGGACCGGATAACCCCACAAGGCAACTTCCTCCAATAATGAGCACCAAATGTTGTAGCAGGGACGGGGAAGGAAGGAAAGACAAAGGAGGTGGTAGAAGTGAAACAAAGTTGTGTGTGACTAAGTTGTATGTGCCAGATGGTGTGTGACAAAGATGTGTGTGTGTGTGACAAAGCTGTGTGAAAGATGATGTGTGTGTGTGAAAGTTGTCTGTGAAAGAGAGCGTGTGACAAAGCTGTGTGTGAAAGATGGTATGTGACAAAGTGGTGTGTGAAAGATGGTGGTGTGAAAGATGGTGTGTGACAAAGTTGTGTGTGGAAGATGGTGTGGTGAAAGATAGTGTGTGACAAAGTTGCCTGTGAAAGATGGTGTGTGACAAAGTGGTGTGTGAAGGATGGTGTGGTGAAAGATGGTGTGAGACAAAGTTGTGTGTGAAAGATGGTCTGTGACGGGGTGTGAAAGATGGTGTGTGACAAAGTTGGGTGTGAAAGATGGTCTGTGACGGGGTGTGAAAGATGGTGTGACAAAGATGGTGTGTGACAAAGTGGTGTGTCAAAGATGGTGTGTGACAAAGATGGTGTGTGACAAAGTGGTGTGTCAAAGATGGTGTGTGGCAAAGTTGTGTGCGAAAGATGGTGTGTCAAAGATGGTGTGTCGCAAAGATGGTGTGTGAAAGATGGTGTGTCAAAGATGGTGTGTGACAAAGATGGTGTGTGAAAGCTGGGGTGCGTGTGTGTGTGTGTCAAAGATGTTGTGTGCAAGATGGTGTCTGACAAAGATGGTGTGTGACAAAGATGGTGTGTGAAAAAGGGTGTGTGACAGAGGGTGTGTCAAAGATGGTGGGTGACAAGGTGGTGTGTCAAAGATGGTGTGTGACAAGGCTTTGTGTGAAAGATGGTGTGTCAAAGATGGTGGGTGACAAAGTGGTGTGTGAAAGATGGTGTGTCTAAAAGATGGTGTGTGACAAAGTTGGGTGTGAAAAATGGTGTGTGAAAGGTGGTGTTTGAAAAATGGTGTGTGGCAAAGATGGTCTGTGACAAAGTTGTGTGTGAAAGATGGTGTGTCCAAGATGGCAAAACGAAACACCCGAAGCGAAGGTGGATGTTGCCAAGTGCCACGCCTGCCACGTGAAACGAAGCTGGATGTCGCCAAGTGCCACGCCTGCCACGCAAAGTGGCGCGGTCACCGGCGACCAATCCCAGCCCAAGCGCGCCACCAGAGCCAGCCCAGTGCCAGAAGTGCCACGCCTGCCACGCAAAACGAAGGTAGATGTCACCAAATGCCACGCCTGCCACGTGAAACGGAGGTGGATGTCGCCAAGTGCCACGCCTGTGCCACGCCTGCCACGCAAAACGAAGGTAGATGTCGCCAAGTGCCACGCCTGCCACGCAAAGTGCCGCGACCAATCCCAGCCCAAGCGCGCCACCAGAGCCAGCCCAGTGCCATAAGTGCCACGCCTGCCACGCAAAGTGCCAGCCCAGCGCCATAAGCGCCACGCCTGCCACGGAAAACAAACGTAGATGTCTCCAAGTGCCACGTCTGCCACAGCAACACCGGCGACCAATCCCAGCCCAAGCGCGCCACCAGAGCCAGCCCGGTGCCACAAGTGCCACGCCTGCCACGCAAAACGAAGGTAGATGTCTCCAAGTGCCACACCTGCCACATGAAACGAAGGTGGATGTCGCCAAGTGCCACGCTTGCCATGCAAAGCGCCGCGGCATCACCGGCGACCAATCCCAGCCCAAGCGCGCCACCAGAGCCAGCCCAGCGCCATAAGTGCCACGCCTGCCACGCAAAACAAAGGTAGATGTCTCCAAGTGCCACGCCTGCCACGTTAAACGAAGGTGGATGTCGCCAAGTGCCACGCCTGCCACGTGAAGCGAAGGTGGTTGACAAAGATGTGTGTGACGGGTGGTGTGTGACAAAGATGTCTATGAAAGACGGTGGTTGACAAAGATGTGTGTGACAGATGGTGTGTGACAGATGTGTGTGAAAGATGATGTGTGACAAAGTTGTGTGTGAAAAATGATGTGTGACAAGGTTGTGTGTGAAAGATGGTGGGTGACAAGTTGTGTGTGACAAAGTTGTGTGTGACAAAGGTTTGTGTGAAAGATGGTGGTTGACAAAGATGTGTGTGAAAGATGGTGGTGTGAAAGATGGTGTGTGACAAAGTTGTGTGTGAAAGATGGTCGTTGACAACGATGTGTGTGACAGAGATGTGTGTGAAAGATGGTGGTTGAGAAAGATGTGTGTGAAAGATGGTGGTGTGAAAGATGGTGTGTGACAAAGTTGTGTGTGACAAAGTTGTGTGTGACAAAGTTGTGTGTGAAAGATGGTGGTTGACAAAGATGTGTGCGACAAAGTTGTGTGTGACAGATGGTGGTTGACAAAGATGGGCGGCGGAGGCGGAGGCGGCGGCAGAGGCAGAGGACGCGGCGGGACACAGAATCAAAAACAAGAACCCCACACAAAGATGTGGGGAACAATACCAACTAAAGATAGACAAATAGATTAAATTGGATTGGTTAGATATAAATAGATTTGATTCGATTATATTAGATTACATTACATTAGATTGCATTAGAGTAGTTTCGATTCGATTCCATTCGATTCGATTCGATTCCATTAGCTAGATCGATAGATAGATAGACAGACAGACAGATAGATAGATAGATAGAAACATTGACTGATTGATTGACTGATTGAGATTTAGGTTTCGATTTAGATTTAGACTTAGACTTAGATTTAGATAGATAAATTCATAGATAGATTGATACATAGATTGATTGATTGATGTAGAAAGATAGACAGAAAGATAGATAGATAGACAGACAGACAGACAGATAGATAGATAGATAGGTAGATATAGATAGATATAGATAGACATAGATAGATAGATAGATAGATAGGTAGATAGATAGATAGATCGATAGATAGATAGGTAGATAGATCGATAGAGAGATAGATAGATCGATAGAGAGATAGAAAGATTTCGATAGATATAAATAGATAGAAATAGATAGAAACAGATAGGCATAAACAGAAATAGAAAAGATAGAAATAGATACAAAACAGAAAGATAGCTTTAGAAAGAAAGACAGATAGATAGATAGATAGGTTGATTGATTGATAGATTAATTGGTTGATAGATTTGGATAGACAGATAGATAGAGAGAAAGATAGATAGATAGAGCGATAGAAAGAGTTAGATAGATAGAAATAGATAGGAATAGATAGAAATAGATAGAAATAGATAGAAATAGAAAGAAATAGATAGAAATAGACAGAAATAGGTAGAAATAGACAGAAATAGATAGAAATAGATAGAAATAGATAGAGATAGGAAGAGATAGATAGAGATAGATAGAGATAGATAGAGAGAGATAGAGAGAGATAGATAGATAGATATAGATTTAGATAGATAGAGATATAGGTAGCAATAGGTAGAGATAGGTAGAAATAGAAAGAGATAGGTAGATATAGATTTAGATAAATATAGATAGATATAGACGGATATAGATACATATAGAAAGATATAGATAGACAAACATAGATATAGGTAGATATAGATGGAGATAGATAGATTTAGATAGATATAGATAGATGAATATAGAAAGATACAGACCGATTTAGATAGATAGATAGATAGATATAGATATAGATTTAGATAGATAGATAGATAGGTAGATAAATAGATAGATAGATTCAGATTTAGATTTAGATTTAGATAGATGGATAGATGGATAGATGGATAGATGGATAGATGGATAGATGGATAGATGGATAGATGGATAGATGGATAGATTTAGAAAGATTTAGATAGATTTAGATAGATTTAGATAGATTTAGATAGATTTAGATAGATCGTAGATAGATTCATATGGATTTAGATAGAATCAGATAGATTCAGAAGATAGATAGATAGATAGATAGGTAGATAGATAGATAGATAGGTTTAGATAGGTTTAGATAGGTTTAGATAGGTCTAGATAGATTTAGATAGATTTAGATTTAGATCGATTTAGATCGATTTAGATAGATTTAGATCGATTTAGATCGATTTAGATCGATTTAGATAGATTTAGATCGAAATAGATAGAAGTAGATAGGATTAGATAGAATGAGATAGATTCAGATAGATTTAGATAGATTTAGATAGATAAATAGATAGATGGATGGATAAATATTATCAATCAATTTGAAAAAAAGCTTTTAATGTATATCGGCACCGCAGTTGCCATGATAAACACCGGACACTACCTGGGAAATCATGGAGGGAACACGCACCCACCAGGTATATCCAGGTGTCACTGGCACTGGCAAACCAAAAGAAACACCGACAAACGAAAATGCATCCCAACGCACTAGGCAACTGCAACCTATTTAAAATAATCCCCATTTCAACTTTCAACACACATTTTCATGCACATCCGAAAGCAAAATTGAACCGTTTCCTCTTTCTCATCATCTAAGTGATGTCCGGTTTCGTCACCCGCAAACTCTTGCAGGGCCATGAAGACATACCTTCGCAGATCATCATCCTGATGGGAACATGTGTCTATTTCCAAAGGCTGGCAAAGGCTCTACTTTCAGATAACCCAAGCAGACGTGAGTGAAGAATCACCGATAAATCAACAAGGGAAGGAAAAACATTGGCGGCGGTCATCCGGGTCATCACCGTGTGGTGGCCATAGAGATTGAGCGATCATGTTTGGCCGTTGGGTGAAGTTGTGTTGGCCGAGGCGCTCGTGGCGCCACAACGTGGCTGCGGCGGTGGTGATGGCATTTTCGCATTTAAAGATTGATCTATCTATATGTTGGGTGGCTTATTAGTTTCCATGCGTATAATCTATTTATTTCTTATATCATTAATTTATTCTCTTGTGTGTTTGCATGTTTCGTTTCTTTTTCTGTTGTTGAGTTTGCTTTCTGTAGGATTATTTCGGGAAACTGCAT